CTTACCTCAGCGCTTAGGTCACCATCGCCCTGTAAGCCTTCTGTAAAGCCCTGCTCAGTAGGGGTATGTCTACACTACACGGTCATTTTTCTGAAAAAAAAAATCACTTACATCCACACTGTAATCACATTCTTTCGGGGGGGGGAGAATCAAAAGAACAAAGGGGTTTTTCCAACATTGGTAAATCTCTTTCTATGAGGAAGAAGCTTTTTTCCAAAAGTGCTCTTTCAGAAAAAGGTGTATGTGGACGGGGAAGAGGGAGTTCTTTCAAAAGAAGAAGAAAGAGGAAAAAGCACAGGTGTCCTGGTTGTCACTCTGTCCATAGTAATCACAGCTTAAATGTGACAGTGTCCATTCAGTGTGGACACTACCTTTCAAAAAAGCAGATCGCTTTTGTTGTGTAGACAGTCTCTTTCGGAAGAAGTTTTTTCAGAAGATCTCATCAGGTAAAGCTTCTTCTGAAAAAAGCCTGCAGTCTAGACATAGCCCAGGTTAGCAAGCCTGTCTACAAAGATGTTCTTCCCTCTGTTCGTTATGTGGACCCCATTTCTTTCTAGGATTTCTTCCTGGAATGACATTCCAAAGCCCTCTTTCCAACACCACCTGCACAACCATGCATTTACCTCTACAATTTGATGGTCCCTACTTAGTTTTTTTCCTTCAATAGGGAGGATAGAGAAGAACACAACCTGCACCTCAAACTTCCTTATGCTTTCCCTCAGAAATACTATATGTGACATAATCAGTACTTTGAATTCACAGCAGTAACATGTCACTGTGTCAAATTCTGTCTCTAGATTAGAGTGCTAAAATCTTGTGGATTGGATGGCCAATATTCTGATCTAGTATAAAAGCCAGTTGCCTGTAAAGTGAAATGAGTGTGATAGTAAGCACCCAGTTACATATTTTAAATATTTTTAGGAAGAAAATTCTAGAAGCATGCCAAACAAACCAGGTAGTCCATTATACTGACAAATAAGTACTGACGTTCATTTGAATGTGGAGTGTAATTTGGATGGTTTCAATAATGAAAGATCTCAGTCTTATTGTCCCTATCCTGGCAAAATATCTGTGAATTAAATGTGAGCTTGGAACAGGGTGGCACTCACCCCTAATGAGTATTCCTTACCCCTGGGCTCAGGTGAGCCCACCCTGGGCTGTCTGTGGTCCAGTTGTTCTTCCAACGAGCCAGGAACCCAGTTCCTTCTCTTTCAGCTCCAGGCTAGAACTGGCTACTCTGCTGCTACTGCTATTTTTATCTGACCCTCCTGGCCCCCTATTGGCTGCTCTAGCAGCCCCTCTAGTTGCTTCTCCTGCAGCTTTTCTACATTGCCTAGAGGACTATTTCTTTCTCTTTTCTGGGGTAGGGTGTGACGGGGGCCATGAGGCCTTCAGCAGGGGCCTCTGGAATTGGTCCACCTCGCCACGTGGCTTTTCTTTAATAAGGATTGTAAGGATAGGCCATAAATGAATATTTTGGAAAGTCACAACACCTCATTGCTATTATAATTAAAAATATGTATGACAAATCCAAAACTGTTTAAGACTAACATTGTGCTCAATTTATACATGTGCTAAAATATAATGTCTATTAATGTATTTTGTAAAACAAATATGCACACATCCACTAAAATTAAAAGGATTTCTAAACCACTAAAGAGAAAGTAGCCAAAATTTGACATATTAAAAGTAGACTAATCTAGTTAGGACTGTGTTTTGCCTTCAGGGCTCTGTCATTGTCTCTTGTACCATCTGAAAGTATGAAATACAGCATAGTGTACTGAAACTGTACTCTGGAAAAGTGTAGACAGACTGGATACTAAACTTGTTTTGCAGTGAAATTAAAGGGCAGTCTGTTCATGGTAATCCTATAGGGCGGGATGGGCAAATACAGGCCAGTAGGCTGGACCCAGTTGGGCACAGGCCCCCACTGCTATAATTATCTGCACGGCTGCAGGTACTGGCCATTACAGTTTCTATGTGCCATGGATCACCATTCCCTGCCAGTGGGAGCTACAGGAAGAAGTGTACCAATCCATGCCACTTCCCGTTTCTCCTGTTAGCCAAGAACAGCTAATCTGTGGCCAACAAGAGCTGCGATCGCCCTCACTCATACCTTGTGGCTGTGCAGGTAAATACAGTGGTGGCAACCTGCCAGGGGCTAATTCTGGCAAACTGTTACTGTCCACTCTCGCTACAGTGTATTTGTTCTTCTGCAGAGAGGAGTGCAGATTTATGAAATTTTTGAAAGATGGTTTTCTTAACTATTTTATAGGTATTTTGTTAGTACATATTCAGGTGCAGGTTGAATTTCTCTGGTCCAGCTCCCTCGGTACCTGATCAGTGTCAAATCAGAGAATTTTCCAGATCATTGGAGGTCAGTATTATCTAGCAGCATTACCAACACTTCCACTGATTACTGGGCTGTTAGAGGCCATTTAGTGGTAAATTAGAGCTAAATTACAACACAGAACACTGACAGCTAGGTTGGTGGCTGTAAATAAACTTTTATGAGACAGTGGGAAACTTGGCCATGCCCATGAAAAGTGGACATCTGGCTAGCTAAAATCATTCTAGACAATGGATGTTTCTGGACCAGAAAGCGCTGGGCTATAGAGGTTCAACCTGTATAAGAAAAATATCGTATTTTATCACTGCGGTCTGTTGTACAATTTTTGTCTCAAAAGATACTCCGTAATAAGATAAAATAGAGTATGTCTACACTACAACGTTAATTCGAACTAAGCTAATTTGAACTAACGGATCCAGTCTAAAAAACTAGTTCGAATTAGCGTTTTGGTCATTCGAACTAGCATGTCCACATTAAGTGGACCCTGAACCGGGCTTAAGGATGGCCGGAAGCAGTGCCGGCAGGGCATCAGAGAAGAACTTAGAGCGTGGAGATGCTTTCTCAGGCTAGCCGAGGGCTGTGCTTAAAGGGTCCCGACCCCCACCCCGGACAGACAGTTCTCAGGGGTGCCCCGCTTGCAAAGCAGTCCTGGCTTGGAGTGCCCGGGCACATCACAGCACTCGGCCATCAGCCTGGCTGCACTTGCCACAGGCTGCCATCTGGGGAGAGGGGACAATTGGGGGGCTGCAGGAGAGCTTCCACCCCCAGAAGCCCACAGAGCCAGCCCAGTCCTCCCCATCGGGGGCTCGTGCCCCATTCCTTCCTCACCTCCTTCCACTTACCTTTCCCTAGCCCCTCTTCTTGATGTACAAAATAAAGATAATGTGTCTTCCAAAATGGAATCTGTCTTGATTGAACAAAACTGGGGGAGACTGGGAAAAGGAGGTGGGAAAGGGGAAGAGAGAGAGTGGGAGAGGGGAGGGCAACTAAAATGATCAGGGGTTGGGAACAGGTCCCATATGAAGAGAGGCTAAAGAGACTGGGACTTTTCAGCTTAGAAAAGAGGAGACTGAGGGGGAACAGGATAG